CCAAGGTGACCCCGCCGCGGCGTGTGCGTGTGTCACCCCTCGGGACAGTGGCACCGCCACCCCGGGTTAAACACCCACCGCCACGGGCGGGCAGGGCCCCCGCAGCGGACAGGCGGCGCCGAGAGAGGGACACGGGGGATTTCTGCCACGTTAATTGCGGGAGGGCGCAGGGAGAAAACAATACAGAGGTGGGATACTAATGACAGAGAAGATAATGAGCCCCGGCCAAAAAAAACCCACAACACTCATTTCACTCATTTCCGCTCAACAGCAAGCGGGTGGCTGCCCAGGTGACACTGGCAGAGCACATATGAAAAAAGGGGAAAAAGGATGGGTGGATAATGCACTTTTTTCCCATCACAGCAAAGACCAGAGGAGGGAATAACCTTTCAACTATAACGCCCCCCCCCACTCCCCCTTAAAATAACATTAACAGAAGAACACAATGAGGACAAGCAGAGATGTTTGTCTCCATAGATGAAATCTGACCATCCCTTTGCAAGCCTGAAGTTTTAAGTAATGGTGCATTTCTCTCAGATACCATTTTTTAACTCAGCTTCACGCCTCTAACGCAGCACATTCGTTACACTTTTTTTTTTTTAAAGAAGTACATAAATAGTCAGCAGAATGCCTGACTCCTTGCTGTCAGTCCTTGTTTTCTCCATCATGCTGCTGGTCTGGCACTGTGGTGGAAAGTCACTGTCGCACACGTGGCGCACAGCAGAGAAATTACAAATATTTTCAAGCCGTCCCTAATACATATCAGTACACTGAAAAAAAGCGATTATTGTGAGATGCAAGTCAAACTTCCCATTTCACACAGTCCAATACAGATACTGCAAGACAGGTATTTAAATAACTCCTAGAATAAACATATTACTACAGACCTAGAAAAATAAGAGCTCAGGGAACACATTCTGACAGGCAACGTTTCCTCCCACCATTTCAGCAATAAGTATAAACAACAGCTTAGCCTTCCTCGCGACGTCGCCCCAGTTCAAGTATAATGAAGCACTAATATCAATAACAAAACCCTCCACATTTACTCAGCTTACAATCTAAAGCGAGCAAGGATAGTGTAAGATCAATAAAGCCGATCTCCATCGGTACATCATAGACAAAAGCTGTAGCACAGAAGTGACATTTTCCCCGTCCGTGACCAACTTACCCCGTTAGGGTCAGTAAGTCAGCAAGCGTGAAGGTAACAAGATTCCATTGGTATGAACAACAGCTCCTACTGTGCATGCTTCCCGCCCACATCCCAAATTCCAGTTTGGCATTCAACTACAGCAAAAAAAGCCAAATATTTTTGTAGTCTTAAAAACGTATTCTAGGATGACAAATTTCCCAACTGCAAGTCACTTTTCTTTCATGTGCAAGGTACAGAGAAGAACATCAGTCACACATTTTTATTTTCAGATACCCAATAAGAATGTGCAGTAGGAAATCAACATTCTTCTGCTTTTTATGTACTTTAAGAGAAGACCGCCCCTCTCCAGCACTACTGGTTTTCCACATGCATAGTCTGAAGCAACTGAAGTGCCGATTAATGAAAAAGTTAGCTTCAAGTGCAAGAAGTTTACTGTAACAGTCTGATATTGCATACACACCACCCTTAGCTGAAGTGTTTGATGTTCAAACACCCGAGGTTTTTCCTCCAGAAATGGATATACACGTACCATGTCCTTAAGCTACTTGAAATCCTATATAAAACAACGGGCATAGCATGCTAAATAAATTAGGCTAAAGCTAGCATAAAAATTAATTGCAACGCAGTTCTAAGCAGTACATTCTGCATCCCTTTTGTCTACAAGACACATGCGCGCTTAGCGTTTTGTTTCTCTAACGTTAGAGCAAGCACTTTAAGGATATGCATGGTTTAAAAGAAAAAAAAGCCAAGACAAGTAGTAGAAAATGCGTTTTATTTATATGGAAAAGGCTACATTTAGATTTGTAAAAGGTCTGTGATAGTGTTATGTTGCCCACATGTCAAAAATCATTTGTGAATAGCAACAAAACGGTTACGTATCTTTCTACATAGCAGTGCAATTAGTTCACATTGCAATAAAATTAAGTCAAGTATGCAACAGAATCAAAAACAAGTGTTTCTCCATAATCAGCATACAAAGAATTACAGTGCAAAGATCATTTTAGGTTTTAAGAAATCTGCAGTCAGTCTTTAGAATTCCCTAATGGGTGGGATATTCCAATTATTTTCATTACTAGCAGTTGTATCTTGTCAATACTGTGCACAAGCAAGTAAGTCTAAAATGAAATGACTTACGTGGTAAATAAAATATTTAGTCTATACAGTAAAAAAAAAATTACAAATTATATAAGTGAACTAACAAAATGAAATTTGAACACACTTATGAAACAGACAGCATACTTTAAGGACACACATACAGTATTCATCACATAAAAACAGCTACTTTTTCCAGCAAAAATAGTTTGGTTGCTTTACAACTGCATTATGGATCTCGTAGTCTGAAGATGTAGATGTCCAG